CAGTGTCATCTTCTACTACACATTCCTTCACTGGTTTAACTTTCAGGTGGTTTTCTATATTTAAAACATAACTGATATTAAGCGCTGCACCTTCAACAAGGTAAAGAATTCAGCCCTCTAGTTATTTGGGGGGGGAGGGATGATGTTTGTTTTTTAATACATAATTGAAACATTAAAAGATCAATAGACAAATTCAACATCCTCCTCTCCTTCCCCCCTCCCTTCCCCATATAATCACGTAATCTTTAATTTCCCTGAATAATCTGGGCAACAATCAGGTACAGTCACAAGAGCAACTGCGAGAGACAGGATAGCTGAGCTGGTATGGGATTAAACACCAAGGACAAAACCGAAACATTACTCTTGATTCTGCCCCAGCTTGCCAGGGAACAGCAGACATGCCCATTAATTATCTTTTCTCTCACTCCTGCCAGTAAGGGGATAATATTTGCTATTTAAACCAAGGCAATCCTAAGCCTAATTTGAGTTACTAGAGGTCAGTCAAGATAATAATGAATGTCTGTAATAAATAGGAGTTTATGACAAATATGGAAAAGAGAAGACTTTCAGGTACTTCAGTTACCTCATCTTTGGTGCTGCCTTCAGGAAGACAGATGTGAATAACACGTAGACCAATCTGTTGAAAGAAAATACTTAAAATTACCAAAGGCAAGTAGCTCATGATTATTAACACGTGTATCAGCTAAAGCTTACCTCTTTGGCAAAGTTCTTGTTTGTTTCTTGAATCAACTGGTCATTATGTGCCTTGGGGAACAAAACAGTAACTGAGTTTTAAAATAATACGTTTTAAAACTGAGTACAGTAATGCAAATGTCCATGCAAGAAACATAGAGACAATGTCTGTGTCTAAAAGTATTCAAACTAATAAGAAGCAATTCTAAGAAAGAAGCAGAAGCCCATCCCTGTTAATCCCAAATAGTTCAAGACTGCTGACAGTGAAAAAAAAGAGCATTAAAAAGCACAGGCGTCATGGAGAAGCACAATTCCTGTTAGGGAAGGAGGGCTTGCCCTCTATCCCCCAGCTCCCTCCCTGCACTGCCAGCATTCCTGGCACTGCACTACCAGCATCCCACTCCCCAAACGTGGCAGCTAGTGGTGAGTAGCAGCACAGAAGTTGCTGCACTGAGGACACTGCAGAGCTCACACTGTGCCAAGGAAAAAGAGACAGGTCTAGGGACAGCTCAGCAGCTGCTCCCCTGTGACAGTAAATGTGGGATTGTGCCCCCACACTGACTGCTCAAGAAGTTTAACTGGGATGGAGCAACAGATGGTACCACACTGTCTACCACACTGTCCCCTGTAATGTCCCTGCTGCTGCAGCACTGGCAGGTGAACACTGACCTTGTGTGAGTGCAGAAAGTCCCTGCCCTAAACCAGTTCCTATCAAAACCCACTGAGCAGCACAGGTGAGGCCAGAGCTCAGCACATGGGCTGGCAGAGTGCAAGGGCAAGACAGGGGGTGCAGGGAAGCCAGTGGTGCTTTGCTGAGCTTTGCAGGGCAACAGCTCCACTGCTAAGCAAGATCCTGATGCTTTATTTTACTATTTAGCATCAAAAAAATTAAGAAGCACCCATCAGTCATTTTTTGCTGTTGCATAGCTCCAGCCTAGGTTCAACATGGATAATAAGCAACACACGTATCAATTTTGGCATTGATTCAGATTCAGTTGATTCAAGAGGGAAAGGACAGTCCTAAAATCATTCCACTGCAGGTTCAGTCTGCAACTCCTCATTCCCAGCCCTGCAGAAGAGGGGGTGTCCTGTCATGCCAACTGCCATCACTCACGAGTACAGGAGGTAACTTCCTGCCCTCCCTCTGCTCCTCTGGGCAGATGTGGCACATGGGGAGCAGCACAAATGTGGGAGAGCAAGGCTCTGCCCACATTACTGGTAGAGCAGTGCATCACAAGAACATCTGTAGACCAAAGCAAGTTTTCTTTGCACTAACAAGTACACATTTAAAATGGGCCTCAGTCCAGACCAGAGCTAGATGACTGGAAAGCTGGAGAACAGAGCTTGGGTGAATTTTAGAAGAATCTCCATGTTCTCCATCTACAGCCACCTCATGAGGCAGACCAAGTGGGGTAAACAGGGACAAGAGGGACATCCCTTCCATTGTGACAGCATAAAACATGCATGTGGCCATGCAGAAAACCAGATCCAGGAGACAAATATGGTGGAAAGGAAGCCTCTTTAGACCCCTCAGGCTGGAGTGGATCCCAGTCCTAGTCCAGATCATGGTGCAACTGGATGGAGACTAACAGGAGTGAGAAAAAACAGGACACTGCTTTCCTATCAGTCCTTAAGCTTTAGCCTTAGAGGGCTCTGTGAAAATGCAGTGATCAGGGAGGGTGAGAGATGAGAGAGACTGTTCAGATAGTCTCACTAGAAGGTCTTCTGAAATAAAGCTGTGGCTGCATTACTTAGGTTCACTATCAGTACTTAAAAAATACTTACAGTTTTGTTTCAACTTTAAACCTACTGGGTCAGAGTTTCAGTGTGTGCCCACTCAAAACCAATACCACCTAGGTATCCTAGGAAACAGGACAATTACATTTTTGCCAGCATGGCACTGGGTCCCCTCTGAATGATAAACATCTCTAGTTTTGTGGCTTTGAAACCTTAAGAGATTTAAGGCTAAGGACCTTTCAGCTTTGCAGGGATAGCAGTCCTCATCCCTGATTTTGATTGCCTATCAAAAATGGCACCATCTGTGGATGGAAAGCTCTTCACAACATTGGTGAAACAATGGTTCTCAATTACTCCAAGATTCCTTCACATCAGAAAGTGCTGCTACTTCCAGAGGATGCTGACACTTTACACTTATTTCACACAGACCCTTCTGAGCTGACTGGGACTTTTTAGTGTGGTTTTCCTCTCCTTAAAAGAGCAGGAAGACATTGATAAGCTGTAGCTACCCAAAGGTAACATGGCTGACAGGAAGCAACAGGGTCTTTCATTAATCCTGGCATTGTTATTTCGGGGGTGGGAAGTGAAGGGAGGCCCACATTTTCAGGAACATAAGGACTTTGCTCAGGATTGCAAAAAAAGCTTCAAGCTAAATAAGGGCTTGAGAACACTACTTTAATTCAACTATTAAGTTAATCAGCCTAGACAAGCTGTGAGAAAAAGTGACCCATACTTAAAATGAGGAAGACTACGCTGGCAAAAGGAAGAAGGGATAAAACTGTTCCTTTCCTTTGCAAAGCCCTCCCAGTCTGAAGTTTGCTGTGACTGTTTCAGGCCTGAAGAAGGGCAATCTGCCATTTGGTGGAGCTACCTCATCCTATTGCTTTGCTTTATAATAAAGCAGGCAATATTCTTTATGAAAAAAAAGGATTAAAATTACCTTCTCCATGGTGTGCTTCTGAAGTTTCAGACAAGTAACAATACCAAAGGAGATCTCTCACAGCCAGTGAGTGCACAGACATACTTTACCTGAATAATGGCAAGCGTTGGCTCAAGGCGAGGGTTTTCTCTCTTAAGAGAGGCCAAGGAATTCTTTGCATTGTCAGTGACTTTGCTGCAACACAGTGACAAGTAAATCTTTAACAAAATAAATTCTCCTAACGTTAGTGGGCAAAACCCACTATTAGTCAACAATGTAACAGAAATGCTTGGGCATGTAAGTTTTCAATCTCCAAAATTATGGTTGGATGTGAACTGTGAGGGCTGGTGCTCAGCAGGTAGGTATAGAAAACCTTAAAAGGCCTTTTTTTTTTTTTTTTTTTTTTTTTTTTAAATAGGTATGTGGGCCATTGCTCTGACATGCCCAAAACTTTATAGCTAGGCTGTGCAAATTCATGAGAAAGCTTGTCCAGCCCCACCACGAGAAGCGCAGCAAAGAATCACTACCCTGAGCTGTCTGATCTGCTCTTGGGTGAGGTGCATCCTTCATCTCCATACCCTTGGCCAGGGCAGTGACAGATGCAGGGGCCTTTACAGCTGGAGCTGCCATGGCTTAACATGGGCTACACCAACCCCTTGAGCAGCAGACCAGCCACTCTCATGGATGCCTTTCAAAACCACTGGCAGAAGGGAGACAAGGCAGCTCTGTTTGCCATACTGCTTCTTGGAAAAACTAGTGACAGCCAAGCACTGGGAATGCTTTCTGGAAAAAAAAAATTAGGGTAAGTGGCAGCCAGCTCTCCTCCGTTACCTTTTGCATGTGCAGGTGATACTTACCCAGCTAGACAAAGAGGAAATATGTCTGTCTGTCCCTCACAGCAAGGAAGACAAACAGAGAACAGCCTGGAGTGGATTTCTGACAGCTCCTACCCTTGCAGAAGCCGATGACCAGCTCAATTCAATGCCGTTGTAAACTATCCCACCCAGGGCTGAATCGGGACGGGGAGGACCCGGGACACGTTTTTCCAGGCACACATCTGCGCACCGCCTCACCTGAGCCACCGCCGCATGACGGCAGCTCTGCCCGCGCTCAAAATGCCACCAAAACCGAAACGCGGAGCAAATCCCGCCAGCGGTTCTGGGGGAAGGGGGCAGTTTTACCACGAGGTCCCCCAAAAATCCCACCTCAAAAACCAACCCGACGCTCCCAGTGAGGGCGCATCGCCCAGCTCCCCCTCACCCCTCCTCCTCCCTCCGTGCCCACACCATCGCACCCCCCGGTTGCATCAGCCGGCGCTGCCTCCCCACGTGCGCCTCTTACCGGGCGGCCGCCGCCGCGCCGCCGGCCCGGGGCAGCGGCGCGCTCAGCGCG